TTTGCTGTTGACACGGCTTCACCCCAGAATGATTTTGGTAAATCAGCGTCAATAAGTAAACATCGACTCATTTCCACAAGTGTGCGGTTCTTCCTTTCAGCCTTACCATTTTGCTGTGGAGAGTAAGGGGTGGTAAATTGAACTTGGATACCTTCCGATTTTAAATAATCTTGTAGACGTTTTCCTGTATATTCACCGCCTCTATCGGAACGGATTACCTTGGGGTTACTGCCAAAAAGAGTATTGCAAAACTTTATGAATTCTCTTATAGTCCCTTCCACTTCAGACTTCTCTTTTAGCAATTGTATCACTGTGAAACTTGAGAAATCATCTATAAAAGTGACAATATAACGTTTTCCATTAGCTGTTGCAGTCTGCATAGGTCCGCATACATCCGTATGGATTAAATCTAGTGGAGCTTTAGATGAACATGTTGACTGTTTGGAAAAGGCAGCCGAGTCATTTTTCCTTTTATGCACGTTTCACAAGATTCTTTAATATTGCAGTTGACTATTTTCATACCTTCAACTAATCCGTCTGCTTCCATTTTACGAATTGCTTTGGGATCCCTGTGGCCTAATCTGCGATGCCACTGATGAATACAATTTTCATTATGTTGTGTCAAGGTACAAACAGCATCTGGTGTCCTTAAAATATACATTTCTCCACTAACATCTGCAATTCCGACTGTTATATCTCTTTGTGTAATTTTACAAACATTTCCTTTAAATTTGACTTCATATCCATCCTTTGACAGTTGTCTAACTGATAGAATATTCCCAACAAGGGTAGGTACATAAAGAACTTCTTTCATTGAAATTTTTCGTTCAACACCATTATCATTCACTATCTTTAAATCACCATATCCTAATCCTTGAACAAAAATATTTTCGCCATTTGCTAATTGCAATGTACTTTTGTATGTCTCATTTAAGGATCGAAAAAATTCTTTATTGTTCACCACATGCCTTGTAGCACCTGAATCGATTAACCAAGAACCTTTACTTGCACTTCCAAAGTTGAAAAGAAAATCATTCGGCGGTTTTGGCGATTCCTGCTTTTCTTCAATCGCGTGAACCTTATACTTGTTTTTGCTGGTGTCTTGCTTTATTTTCCAATTTTTATATTTTACACAATTTTTCTTTTGGTGACCAGACTTTTTGCAAAAGAAACACGTCTTATTGGAATTGTCAGCAATTTTCATAACAGCATCATTTGAAACGCCATTAGAATGTAGTCGTCTTTCAAATTCAGCAATGACCCTTTGTTGAACAAATGCGAACGTAATCTCCTCTTCTTTGCGTGATTCGAGTGATGTTATCAACGTATCATAGCTCTCTGGAAGACTACTGAGTAACATAGCAGCACTCCATTTATCCGTCAATGTCTCTTCACCGATATCTCTTAATTTTGTGAATAAATCATTCATGTTATTAATGTGGCTTACCGCATCACCTCCTTCTTCAAGCTTCAATGAGCATATAGAACGCATCAAAAGACTTTATTCGTTAATGTATTTCGCTCATGATACTCTTTTAAAGCATTCCAAGTCTCTTTTGCTGTTTTAAGGTGCCTTATATGACATAATTGATCGTCCATCACTAAGAGACCGATTGTGCCTCTTGCCTCGTCATCCTTTTCATCCCAATCACTAATTGCTGCCGCATTTATAATATTACCTGCTTCTCCTCGATTTTCACGGGGTCTTGGTCCTTCAATTACTTTCTTCCATAGATTTTGCTTCCTTAGCAATAGTTCCATTCTGAATTTCCAATTTGCATAATTGGAATTGTTCAATTTTGAAAATCTTGGTTTAGCTTCAGCCATATTGCCTTTACTCCTTATTGAATTCTGTTCCTGGAAATATTGATGTCCTTAGTATTTCTTGATAATCCTTGATCCTTTTGTCGATTGTTGAAGCTCTTTAAGGGCCCATAACCTATTGGAATTATAAGGCCGAGGACTTTTCACAGCAATTGAATTTTATTGAATGACAAGAAAATTAGAAAATATTTTCAATGCATACACATTTTCTATCAAGGCTAGCTAGAACACAATGTTAAATAAATTACAAAGTATAAATGAACAAAGTATAAAATTGAACGCCAATCCAACAGACTGCACCATTCTAAACGCTATTGCACCAAAACTATCCTGGTTTCTGTGGGCAGCAGACGTTCTTCCGCTCCAATGGATGGGGAGTGGACTCCGAAGACGGCATTCATAGTATAATTATTATCACTAAATGCTTCCGTATGAACGCGATCCAGACCTGCCTGATAGGCTTCTTGGCCTAGTGGCTCTCTCTCTAAGCGTTGGACCTCCCTCATTAGATTATATATGTCCTTCCTGACACGCCTGAGTGGGGGAGTATTATCCACCATATGATGGTTTAGATGACTCCCATGATAACACTAAATCAGGTACTGCAACGAAAGCATATGGTTATGCTAACGTAGGGGAAGGACCTTCGTCTCCTCATGTAGATGGTCTACTGGTGTCATGAGGAGGCACACTGTCGCAGTTCTTAAGGCAGCATTCTGGCAGGTCTAGATATTTTTCCACTGCTTAGCACTTGTATCCGCAGACCTCACTTGGGGCCGCACACCTAAAGATGTCTCCTTGTCCGCACCCCAAGTGCTTCCGGATAGAGCCTTGAGGACCTTGTTCTTACTCTTCATTTTGTCGCAGATAGCTGTGGCTTGCACGGACGACTTGAACATGCGGTCGTATGTGACCCCTAGGATCTTGGGGGAGCGCTCGTGGTCGGTATTATATTTCCCATTCAGACTATTCAATGCATGCAATTATAATTCCACCATGTCATTCGTAGATAAAAAAAATCACCTTTTTATTTGACATTTCTCTCTCTCCCCCTCTCTTTTAAAACTTCAATTTTATCGCAAACAATGTCGTAACTTAAAACTTATTTTAAATTATCGATTGCAATTCGACTTATAGCATGTTTCCATTGGAAACCGAACAACGTTGTTCGCTCTCAGAATTATGTACACGAATTAACCCGTTCATACGGCACGATTCGTAATTCATAGTAAAATAATTCCTTTTTTTCAAAAAAAATGTTTGTTGATTTTAAAGGGAATGTATACGAAAATACATGAAATTCTCGCTAATATGAATATAAGAAATTATTGTTTTTCTCCCAAAGATTTATTATATCATTAATTTTACAATTTTCATTCACGTTTTCAACTTTTTGTGTAAATGTTGACATTTTGAACATATTTTTGTGTTTTTTCCATTTTTAAATTCTGCTGAAGAGACACTTCTCAAACATTTTTTCTGCCGATAGAAACATTTTGAAAATATTGACTATTTTGTTTGCAGTTTTCTGTAGAAATTTTAACTCGTGGACCAAATGCGTACCTCGAATGAGAGAGAAAACAAAATTTACTTTCTTTGAATGTACATACGCCATTCACATTGTAGTTTTCATTCATAATTTTCAGTCTTCCCAAAAATTTTGTAAAATTTCATTAAATTTTTCTATTTATAATTTTTAAATGTCATAATTTATTTTTTTCGATAAATGCTCTCATTTGTTAGGGATGGGACATATTTTTTCGTTGTTCTGAGAGTGATTTGATTTGAACAAGGTACAAATATGAGTGTTCGCTCAGGAAATGTTGTGTGAAGAATTAGGTAGTTTTTTCATAGTTAAGGGTCAAACAACGAATAGAGAGCGAATCAAGTGCAGTGGAAACGCCACATTACCGAATTAAAAAGTATTATAATTACATAGACAATTATTTGCAAATATGTAACCATATATCAGTTTTAAAATTTCTGTACAAGATCAAAAACGGTTTGAAGTAATTAAGTAATTTTTGAAGTCAGTATTCTGTTGATTTATGTCAAACTCCAACTAAAAAATGGAGTTTAACAGACATCATCATGAAAAGACGTTTTTTGAGGTATGGTGAACTTTGGGTAAATAAGCGATATTTCTGGTTTTTCATTTGACGTTTTTTTAATAGAAGCCGTGTAACATTTATTATTGCATACTCTCGCTGTACGACTGTGAAATCTGCGAGTAGCAACACTGCACAATATTTAGACACAGAGAATTTGTGGAAGCTATTGCATGAGTGGTGTGGATTTCGTTTGTTTTGCCAACCCCATTCGGTTGTATTTAGTATACAAATGTATCTAACAAATTACAGTTAATAACTACGAAGTGGGCCTTTGATTAGACAAAAAGATTTACTTATTAATAAATTTAATAAAACATTGTGTGTGAATATAACTTGTATCTTGTTAGTACACGCTTATATACGTAGATATTTATTTTGTATGTTATACAAGACAAACAAAAGAATAACAACAAACTGAATGTTTACGCCATCTTGCCATCCAGCTGGAAATTTATATTCTACATCACGAGTGTATTGTCCGTCCACGATACTATGTTCGTAGCTAGTCAATACATTATTCTCTACCTAATAGTCATAACTTATGTAAATAAACCAGATTTCTTTCCGAAAATGCTGGAGAACCGAATTTTGTTTTATACCTAAATTGAACGGAATTCATTAAAGAAGACATCCCAAAAGTACCTGTTCGTTTTCTGTTACCAACATTCAGTTTTTGCAACTTTGTCCTCATAAAGCCGCGTCGTTGCATATTATTTTCGGTTGTAGTTTTTTTCCAAGCATCGTTTTTATTTTTCCTCCCTTTTTGCCATAAAGGGGAAAATTGAATATTCGCGCACACTCAAACAAAGATATGTATTTCTGTACGAACAATTTCAAGTCCGTGAGTGTTAAAAATTGCGACAATTTCTTATACCGTGCAATTTGTGTGTGATGCGTCATAAACTCGATTGGCTAGAAGATAAATTATTTAAGCAAACAGCTAATACTTGAAAACATTCAAAACCTAGTGTTGACTATTAAGTAAAAATGATTTAATCTGCTTTTTATTTCCTGAAATCCTTAATTTCTCTAAAGTGTGATTATACATATGTATGTCAACAGACCTTTATGTCTGGGTATAAAGTATCACATAATTTTTAAAACAGAATGGATAAATACGAGGATTGCATAATTACATACGAAACAAAAAGAGGATTTGAAATCAAATAACCAAACATTGTTTGTTTGGAAAGGAAATCTGGACGTAAGTCGGTTTTCACCTATTTCGCCGTTCTTAAACGAAAACGATAGTCCAAAAAGTATTGGCTTGTTGTTTTGTGGCTGTTATACAATTTGGGATGATGGATCCTTTGCAACTGCCTCAAGTCATAAATCGGTCACATGATAGCAGTATAGTCCACGCTGACATAGAGGGTAGTGTAAATAGAGCCACACCGCCCCATATCAGTATTGAAGAAAACAATTGGGAGTTGTTTATCGAGGAGGCAAATCAGTTAGAGTACGATGAGGAAGAATTGTTTATATCATCATTTCCAAGTACACCAACAGTGGAGCAAATTTCTTATGAAGATGAATTTATGATCGACACAACGATAAATTCTTCCCTTGAAAATTTAATACCAAATGAACAATTATTAATCGAAGGTTTGCAATATTATTCTATAATATCTTTGTTTAACATCAGCAACTCAAAATGTGCAGCTGTTCATAAAAAAAAAAATCCAAGTGTACAATACTACAAAAAATCAAAAACATCTTTCATCCTGCTTTTTACGTTGTACAATATTTTTTAACTCTACATAAACATTGTTAGAAACTTGATTATATGCAACAGCCAAAGAATATATCAATGTCACTTAGCTAGTTTTTGAACTGTATAGACACTAGCCTGTTATGAGGTTAACTGAAAGCAAAGCTCCAATACAAAAATATAAATATATGGACATATTTTTATACCCACACAATGCTTTTGCCCATTACGTCTTTGGCGTTTCTAACGAACAAACCCCCTTACATCTATTACGTTTTACTGTTGCTTATAGCAAACCCAATAAATTTAAAATGTATCAAATAATTGTAAAATAAAATTGAGAAATGTCAAGAAAACATTTTAAAAATATGATCCTGCAAGATGCGCCAACAAAAACAAGATGTGTTAAAACAGTTCATAGCTATATAAATTCTATTCATACACATATAATTTTGGTGTCATTCTGTAACAAACAGACAATTTCTGTTCAAAACGATAGGTCTCATTTTCTGACGTTCTCTTTCGTATTTGTTACAAAAACCCAGAAAAATGCAATGGAAAGTGAAACCATAGCTCTCTTTCTATCGTTTTTTTTCTGACGTTCTCTCTCGTATTTAATTCTTACAAAAATCCACAAAAATACAATGGAAAGTAAAAGCTTTCGTGTATACGTCACGGACATAAAAGTCATTGGCACCGAAAACCCAAATATTTTTTTTAGTCGACAAATTCCAAACGAATGTGAAAAAATCATAAATAAAAAAGTTGTCAAAGTACCTATCCAAAAATGTGTTGAATATTGCGGGCCCCTTTTTTCTAATACCGGATACAGTACAGGAAGATCACTACGCTTTGTACCCATCATCAAATATTTAAATGCTCTTTTAATCAACTGATTTTATTAATTGCAATTTCGTTTTGACCACATAGCTTATATTATTAAATTTCTTTTTACAGTTCTATGTGGTAATCGTGTAAGTCAAATGACCCGTGCATATGATGATATTGAGGCTGTCACACGCCTTCTCGAAGAAAAAGAGAAGGATTTGGAGTTGACGGTGCAAATAGGGAAAGAATTGTTGACGCAGAATAATGCATTAGAAAATAAAATAGCCGATTTAGAAGCTGAATTAAAATCAGCTAATGAGGACCGTTCGCAGTTGCTACATGAGCTACACAAGAAAAATGAACTGATAGCTGTTTTAACAAATGATTGTGAGGATTCTAGTGATAATGGTAAGTCACGAAGTTATTGATGATATGATTAACTACAAAGTCTTATATTTCAGATACCCCAACCTTCTCCAAGTCCATCACTTTGGATTTATTACAAAAGAAGATTGCTTCACTTCAGGATGAAAACAAGTCACTTAAATATGAAGCATCTCAATTGGCCTGTCAGACAGATGAGGTTGAGGCTCAGGAGCGGAGGCTTATGGACGATATAGCATCACAGCTAAACGACGCCAATCAGCAGTTCGAAGGACTTAGCTTAGAACTGGAAAGGCAACGTGAGGAGAATCGTTTGCAGCATGAACAAATAGTAAGCTTAACTTCGCGATTGGCAGAAGCTGAAATGAAACTTCATCAACTGACACACGACAACGATGAACATATTACACTTCTAAATATTACAAAGGAGAACCAAAATAGTCTGGCATTGGAACTGGTTGAATTCAAGCAAAGATATCAAGAGGTCTTGGCTCTTTTGCAAGAAGCACAGGAACAGTTACGAAAACAACGAAAGAAAACTATGCCTCAAGCTCGTAGTTCCTTCATGTCTTCAATTTTGCAGCCGGACTCCTTGCAGTCAGAATTGATGGAGTCATCTCTATATTCAGAAAATAGTCTTGATTCTGGAATATCAGGTGATAATCAAAGAATAAATGATCGAATTGGTCATTTGATGTCAAATCAACCGAACACATCATGTGGAGTGGCCTACAATGGCACAATGAGTACGGTTTATGGAGGCGGAGGTTTACTGCAGCCATACAAGAGAGTATTTGATACTGTTCGGTGTGCAACCAAAAGCGGAAACTTTGCTGATTTGGACAGTACTTCAATGACACACCTTGGAGCGATGTCTATGAGCACAGCATCAGGCCCACGCATGTCTACTATGGCTATTGGAAGTACATTAACCTCCTCCAACAACACTTTTGGCGCTGAAAATAATGGTATGGGCGATAAAACAATATCCTGTGAAAGTTTAGCGTCTCAATCTGAAGATGGTTATCCCTTGCAACCATCAGGAGTTCCTGGAGCTCCCGGCGCAAAGGAACTTGAGGCTGCTTTAAAGAGACTTACTCCAGCAGAAGTACTTGCTCGAAGGGCTATGCTTTCATACGCACCTGCTGGTACATATAATTATGACGATGTTCAAACTACAACTGCATTTCCAATGGGACTGCGCACACCAGACAGCATTATGTCGACCGGATCATCTGGTATTTCCTCATCAACTAACATGTCATCCTCTGTACATCAGTGGCGATTACCAGAAAAGCTGCAAATAGTAAAACCTATTGAAGGTTCACAGACATTGCATCATTGGTCACAGTTGGCTACACCTACCCTGAGTGGTCTTTTGGAAGAAAGACCCGGTGTGACAATTCGCGGGGGGCGAGGACTTGACGATTTAGGTATGCAGGTATACACTTTGTCAGACGTTGAAGAAGACATAAGCGAAGAATTACCTGGCAAGCAGTATGAAGCGTCTGGATGTACATATACATTCACGACTAGTATGGTAATGCATCCCGACGATGGTATATCAACAGATCTTTCATTTTTATCACAGTCCCAAGTATCTTCAAGAACTGCATCGGCATCAACGTCTCGACAGCCAAGGTAATTTACTTTATTAACCTAATAAATTATAATAATAATAAATTCAACCAATTTCTTAATTGTAGCTGCCCACCAACACCAAGAGCTGGTCTTTCGCGCAAAAATTCCTGTTCAACATTCTCGGTAAATTTAGGCTTAGCGTCTATGTTGAATGAGCGAGGTATCAAAGCTGTAACTCCAAGCGCCTTAAATACACCTGCTGGGCCAAACTTTTCGCCAACTGTAACACCCTGCAATAGTCCTGGTAATTATGTGATTTATACATCAACATATAATATTTGTTTGAAAGTAACCTTCGGCATGATAATACTGTGCAACTCAGAAAATAAATGCAGGGAAGTCCGACATGTATGGACGTGAAATTTTATATCGGGCCAATAAAGGGTATTTTAGCCCTTTTTTGAAATTATGGTTAAAACTCCGTAACAAATCAAAATATCCTACAAAATTATTTGTCATGAAATTCTACTATAGGTCCTAAAAGACGTAAAAATCTTACCTTAAACGCCAGTAACTCATTTATGTTTAAAAGATTTGGGGTTATGTCCGAACTTTGTGTGATATCTCCAAGAAAGCATCATTTTAAACTAATGACGTCAAAGACAGGAATATTTTTAACCATTGTATATGCAAAGATATTGTATATGCAATATATTTTAAAAATGTCATGTAAGTCTTATCTGCCTTGATTATAGGATGAACACAATGGACTAGAAGGTGTCCGAGTGAAGCGGTTATTTGACTTTGACATTGTTAGTGCTTTTCAACGCTTCACACTGGAGTAACCATTCAACACGGTTTTTGTTGTAAGGAATGATTTTTCGTGCTAGAAGGGCGATTATTCTGCTTTAAAAAGAAGACAAGAAAGAGTCAACCGCTTAAAAAGTTATCATTCATTGTTCTTTATTTTTAAAGATCATATCTAATGACGGAACTATAAATAAAAGGAATTGTGTCCTGGGTGAAGGTTTAATTAAACTCGGTTATTTTGGATGTATTTCAGGTCAGTTATTTCTGGAAAAGTTGAATTCCAGAACATGCAATACAGTTAGCAGGGCAGTCTATTTTGCAGGGTAAGTTTTTGGCAAAGCTGTAGATGATGATCGAATTTATATTTCACGAACGTTACAGCTTCTATCTCCCACCTGCCAAATAGCCATAACATGGGACATCGGCATAGTAGGTGTTCAATCGTCTCTATCTCTTCTTCGCCGTCTTTACATATTCTACAGCAGTCAGACACTGTTATCCCATCTTTAGGTCAGATATTTGGTAATGCAGTGGCCAGTCAGTACGCCTACCGCGGTTCTTTTTCTCGAGATTTCCGGCAAGATGGATTAGAGATTTCCGTTCTCTAAGTGTCATCTTCTTCTGGATTATTCGATAATATATTTTTTGAAGCAGCTTATTCTTGCTCCAGTTTAAACCCTGGTCCAAGATCGTAAAGAAAAATTTGTGTATAGCCTTTTGGTAATATGTGACTTGGTTTTCCGGCTTTGGGAATATAGGTCACTGTAACCTCATTCCATAGACTGGATACGTAGCACAACCTAAGACAGATCTTCGATTTATCCTGCAAGATGTCCAACACCATTAGAGCGAGTTGATTTAATGGGTTGGAAGGTATTAATCGCCCATATGACCCTTCCGATGTACAATGTAGGGTGGGCGTTGCTGATTACTCACTACCACCTGCAACCTTACAGCCGGGTAAGTGGGTACTGATAGGAAGTCGAGAGTCTCTAGAACAGAATTAGTCCATTTGCTATTATCTCAGCTTAAATTTCTCCTTCCATAAATGTCTCCTTCCACAAGTAATCGTCGATCATGGTATGACCTCTGTATCATGGACTCGGTAACTAAACCTGTTATTCGCTGAGGCGCCCATGTATCAATGAAGCTCCGGTAGAATACAGTCGGTACCCTGACTTCAAACCTGCAACACTGATGAACACGTGGTCGCATAACACCCTAGCGTTAAGGGGGCCTCTTTTTGTGGGACCTGCACAGAGGCTATTTTAGGGGCGACGAAACATCGCCTCTTCAGTCTACGGATCATTGGCACTCGACACCACCCAGACCCGCTGACTTTTCCGACTGCTTATCCAATTCGCAGCTACCCAGTATGGACGCCCCCGACAGATATCGGCTATGCTCCCCGATGCTGATTGGTTAATTTGTTGATATTAATAAATTTCCATCTGGATCTGACATTTTTATTTGTTTTTCTTGTTGTATGAAATTTATTTAGATATTTTTTTCTTATAAGTTTCCATTTCACATTATCATATAAGAATTAAGCCCCAGTTCTTTACTTTTTTTAATATTATAATATTTACGTTTGAATTATTCTTTTTGCAGAGGGGTCTCCTACGCGATCCATGTCTCCGGAACCACTATTTGGACTACTTTCATCAGGAGCTGAATTGATTCGACGCAAACTAGTGGGCGGTGATATAGAAAGGCCTAACCGCAATCAACAGCAAAAGCAGCAAAAAATTATGTTAACAAGGCTTGAGAGGCGAGCTTTAAGGTCCCTGCGTCTGGTTGAAAAGGTTGAAAGCATAGGTTTAGAAAATATAATAACTACACAACCAAACACAATGTCCCAGTTGGCTAGCGGAATAGCAAATCGGAGTGCAAGTCCAATGGCTCAACTAACAAGCCTTAAAAATATCCATACAAATTCAAACAATATAGTAAGCGATTTACATTTCAATAGAGACCACATAAAGGATGTGCTTCATAAGGTCTTAATTCACAAAGCAATCTTCCACCATCATCAAGTTTAAAAGAGACGGCTCCAGTTTCCAAACTAATAAATTCTGAACTAAATATTCAAAATAGGGAGGGGATACCGCCAGCGGATCATGAAGTGGATGCACAAAAAACTATTGTGAACAGAACAACTTCTGATGTGGGCATTTCAAACGTCCGAGCCAAACAAATGCAACGGCAAAAGTCAAGACGTAATCTCAAAAACGGCCAAAGACCTGACTTGGGTACCATTGGCGGACGAGTGCGTACTGATTTGGGACATGTGTCTCCTAAACAGTCGGATCAATCTACCAGCAGTATACATAAGACTTCGTCTAGTTCGAAAAGAAATTCTACCCCAGAAAAACCAGAAGCTAAAGAAGCTCAGCAAAGTATTGCACAATCTTTTGTGGGTACAGTGAGTTCCTTATTATTTGGTCGCAAAGGAGGTTGGCTGTAAATAGCTAAATCACAATGTGTAAACACACACAAAATACGTTTGTTTTTCGGCCTTTTGGCTGCTAAAAAATAGATCGAAGCATCAAAATCTGTCTAACAGCTTCATCCCCTAGCCAGTACACTGCTGTATAGTCCGTTAGACGCGGAGTCATTTAAAATAGCATTTTGAGATTTACATTATACATTCAATTGTATAAGAAAGTTTAACATATCTCAAAGCTGAGATAACATGCACTTATTTTTACAATTTGTTTTAAATTCGAAGTGTGAACCGCTGTTTATCATAGTTGTACTGTGATTACGTAGTTAGTTATTCCTGTAATAATCGTGTGCCCCATTTTCATTCTTTCGTTAAGCATACGTAGATACGTATAAAGAGCGACCGGTGCTACTCCCCAAAAACTTATGTTAATTCTTATTTCTTTTAGTTATGATAGCTGTCAAATTTTATCCTGCCTGAAAAATATGCACTACAACTATTTTTAACCCCCAAGAAAATGGAATGTGAGGAATGCACAAGCGTGGCAAAAAGCACCGACTAACGTTTTTCTTTACGCTCTCAGTTCAGATAATTTTCTTTTCGGTCATTCTAAATTTTAGCGTTAATAATTTTGCTTCCAAATTTATTTAAAGATGAAGAGACTTGGTCGGTATTGCTTGCCAACTTCAATTAAGAACACAGTACATTGTGCTAATTATTATCTCTTTAATCATTTCTAGTCCAGCATTGTATATCCAAACTATGCGTATTTTTAATCTTGTTACTTTTTAACTCATGTTTCAAAAGAAATTTTACCGATAATATATATTTTTGTAAGGTACAATACTTGTGTATATAAGGTAGTTGAATACTGATGGCTGCTTGCGTTTCTTCTTTCAAGTTAATTGAAACTTGTTTCAAGTCAAGTTTCAAAAATATAATATGTCATACCTGTTAACAAAAGTCTAAACTACCTTACTTAATTTAAGTTGTGCGTTTGCCAAATGCCTTTCTATAAAATTAAACTGACAAATAAAAATACCAATTGAAACGAAGCACCTATGTTTCTTTTATCCAAATTTTATTTAAGTATGTAATAGTTAAAATTAAGATCTGAAAACAAAGATTCTGGCGACCTCTCTCTCTTTCAATTTACTGACCACATAGCTAAAACATCAATCGAAATTATTATGTAGTTTTTTGTTATAAACTACAAAACTATAGTTGAATTTTGTGAACCTTTTACATATTAGTTTGTGAGCTTAAAGTTAAGATGCGCAATGCAACAACTGTAAAAACGTGAAGATACTATTATAATGTGTAGAAAGTCGACAGAAAAGTCGATAAAGTTTAAAATTATTTTTATGCAATAAAATATTGTTGAAACTATAATAATTTATTTTGTTTTTTATGTGATTGGTGGGTTTTTTGTTAAAAGCATATCGTCACCAGAAAGGCCTAAAGGTGTAACCCCATAAAACCATAACTATACAGGAGAAACAAAATTCGTTAGAAACTGAAAACTGGTTTATAAAATAATGTACAGTACTTAAAGAAAGATAAGAGATGTCTTTTTTTTAATAGTAATTTTCATAATTTCAGAGCTATGTGGGTTACGTCTTTTGGTATTGATTTTTCTCTTAAATGAAAAAAGCGTAAACCACATATTTATGGTGTATACATCTGAATAAAGTAGAATAATAAAAAAAATCTAATCAATTTACGACTGCATTATTGATCCATGCAGTTAAGCAAACTGTAAATTTGCAATCTGAAAAAGTTGGGTGCAATCATAACTGTGATATTTCAGTGGATCAAAATTAGGCGAATTGTCTATCAGAAATGCCTCCAGATAAATGATTTTGTTTTGATTTCGACCTTTGTTTGGATTACATTTCTTTTGTTGTTTTTGTCTGGTTTATTCGGCCAAACGAATACCTTCACAATTTTAACATAGTTAAAATGAAAACTAGCCATTTTGTTATAATTGGCCATTGACTATTGTATTACCTTTCCGTGATATTTTAATCAGATTCATACTCTTAAAAGTCGGCACCAACAGCCGGGATTTTTTCGATTTCTTTTTCTACCTCTTGTTGGAAGTTTTTTTTTTTTAAAGTACTTGTACAAAATACCAATTTTGTTGCATTACTACGGAACCGGTTCCAATAACCCACTTGTTAAATAGGTATTTCCATGGTACAATAAAAAGGTAAGATAGAGCTCCTAGCTGAATACAGTTTTTTTCTAAGTGTACCCGACTTCCGCACAATTTTGGGTATGTAGTTTTTGTTTTGAATAATAAAACAAAATATTTTCGAAAATCAATTCTAAGAAACTTAAGTTGCGGGCCGCGCATTAATAATATTAACCAGGTTTGCAATAGAATTAATGGATTGAACACTTAGGATAATATTTTTGAGAGAACATCCAGGCATTTCACACATGTTTCGCTATATTTGACTCATTTTAGAAATGAACAAAAAATCTTAAATAAATAATTACAACTTGTTGTCTATATGTAGCGGGCATAGACTCAGGGCTGCATTTCTGTTGTTGTTGTAGCAGCTCATACATCTGTGTTCGTTCGGTTTCCATTTTTCTGACTCCATTCAATCAGGTTCTGCCTCTAAGTCCAGACTCAAAAAGGATGGAACCTGTATGGGTTTTGTCCATAACGAGACTGGAGTTAGGTGAGTAGGCTTGGCTGGGCAGCGAAATAGGTGCAACGTGTCATGTGGGCCTGTGCCACAAGCTGGGCAGATGTTCTGCAAGTCGCTGTTAATCCGGGCCCAGTCGGAATTTAAGCGGCTGCACCATCCGGATCGTAATTGAGCCAAAACTACTCGGGTTTGTCGGGGCAGCTTTCGTTCTTCAGCTGCGACGGGAGGGGGATGGTCTCCTAGCACAGTATTCACTCTGTATCCTTCAATGGGCTCTGAGACCGCATTAGAGTGAATACTATTCAGTCCCGCTTGATAGGCCTGTTGATCTAGAAGCTCTCTCTTATAACTCTGTATCTCTCTCTCTAGATCATGAAGGATAGGATGGCTTTGTCTCTAACACCCAAGCAGGTATTGCATTGACAGCATTTTGTTATGCTGTCGCACCGGTAAGACCTTCGCCTCCTCATGTAGGTGATCGACAGGTGTCATGAGAAGGCACCCTGTTGCGGTTCTAAGGACGGCATTCTGGTAGGACTGAATATTTTTCCACTGCGTAGCACTAACTTTAGCGACCACACCGGAGCCACATAATTTACCATAGATCGTCCTATCGTGTTGTAAGAGGTCAACAAGGTTTCCTTATCAGCTCCCCAAGTACTACCGGCCAGAGACTTGAGGACCTTGTTCCTACTTCTAATTTTGTCGCAGATAGCTGTGGTATGAGCGGACGACTTAAAGAGACTATCGAATGTGACCCCTAATACCTTGGGGTAGTTGGTGGTCGGAATTATAGCACCATCGACCTGCACATTCAAGGACAGTCCCATCTCCGCAGTCCATGTCCTAAAAAGTGTGGCCGTCGATTAAGTGGCGGATATTTTCATATTCCTCGCAGTGATAAAGGCGGTAAGATCAACAAGGTAAGCGTTTAACCGATCGCAAATGTCATCAATAATGGGTCCGGCGTCACGAGCGTACAATCATCTGCGTACGTTATAATCTCTATGCCGTTTGGAGGTCGTGGAATGTCAGAAAGGTAGAGGTTAAACAGTTCCGGAGATATCACCCCACCTTGGGGAACTCCCTGTTAAACTCTACGGATGCTCGAATTCTTGTTTCTGAATTCCATGTACGACTGGCGTCCACACACTTAGTTTACTATCCAACGTTTCAAACTTGGCCGGAGGGCAGTGCGCTCAATGTCCTCGAACAGTGTGGCATGATTGACTGTATCAAAGGCTTTTGATAAATCAAGTGCCACCATAACTGTTCTAAGGCAAGGCCTTTTCTGGTTGAGACCTCTGCTAACATGTGTGGAAATGGCGTGTAAAGCTGTTGTTGTGCTGTGCAATTTTCAGAATCCATGTTGATGATCGGCTATTGGGAAACATTCTCTTATGCTGGGGAGGAGTAAAGTAAAGAGTAAAGCCTCAAAGACGAAAGTGGTATCGGCCTGTATGAATAATTTGCTGGCATCCTTGCCTGACTTCAGTAGCGGGACCACCCCGTCCATGTTCCAGGCATCGGGAACTACCAGGGTGGCTAACGACAGATGGGGGAGCTTTGTAAGATACTCAACTCCTGGCTCATCCAGTTGCTGCAACATCACCATAGAGATTCCGTCAGGACCAAGCGCTTTGGATGACTTTGCGCTTCTGATAACATGTACAACATCTTCCAACGTAAATTGTGGTGGTACCTCCTCGGCTGGAAGGGATCGTACACGGCGTAGGATCCTTCTCTTAGCCCTGTCACTCTCGGGGTGCCGGTTAAAATAACACGCGCACCTCTTCGGATCTGTCACTTCTATGCCGTTGTTCCAGGGTTCCAGAGCGACTTAACCGTTGCCCACAATTTACTCGTTCCAGTACTGATGATGCAATGCTTCAGATGTTCTAACCACCATTTTCCGCTTATGCTCACCTACTAACCTGTTTACCTCCAGAGTAAGTTCCCTCTTTCTGGGGTTATTAGGGTTAGTACGGTGAAGCTCATTTCGCTCTTTTGCTAATCCCGCTGCCTCTGCTAGGAAATTTGGTCTTATTTCACGTTTTCGACCAGCAGGTATATAGCGAGCGGTTGCAGCTTTGATGATGTCACGGTAATACCTATCTACTACCTGAACATCAGATGGGTTGGGCAGTTCTCTGAAGCTTTCCCGTAGTTAAGGAAAGTACGGCGTTCAGAATCTATGAAGTCGGATGGTCTGTTGATGGCGACAATAATGGGGAGGTGGTCTGAGCCTAGAGAAATGACTGATTGCGAAGTTACGCCATTCGTCAGACCTGGGAACACGACGAATATGTCCGGAGAACTGTGGAAGTCTCCCCTTATTCTGGTAGGCGCGTCCTCATTCACTGTGCAAAACGTGGAGCTATCAATTTGCTCAGCCAGCACCATGTCTCTCTGGTCAACACCTAAGACGGAATGCCATAATTCATGCATAAATTCCTGTTGAGGAGATTGTGTGGGAGTCTCATATTGAGACGACGATGAGGACGCCGAAGATGAAGACTTACTGGGGTTTACATTGACGCAGCAGGAAGTAATGTAGTCCCTATCGCAGTACTCCGCATTAGAGCGAATACTATTCAGGCCCGCTTGATAGGCCTGTTGATCTAGAAACTCTCTCTTATACCTCTGTATCTCTCTCTAGACCATGAAGGATTAGGATGGCTTTGTCTCTAACACCCAAGCAGGTATTGCATTGACAGCATTTTGTTATGCTGTCGCACCGGTAAGACCTTCGCCTCCTCATGTAGGTGATCGACAGGTGTCATGAGAAGGCACCCTGTTGCGGTTCTAAGGACGGCATTCTGGTAGGACTGAATATTTTTCCACTGCGTAGCACTAACTTTAGCGACCACACCGGAGCCACATAATTTACAATAGACCGTCCTATCGTGTTGTAAGAGGTCAACAAGGTTTCCTTATCAGCTCCCCAAGTACTACCGGCCAGAGACTTGAGGACCTTGTTCCTACTTCTAATTTTGTCGCAGATAGCTATGGTATGCGCGGACGACTTAAAGAGACTATCGAATGTGACCCCTAATACCTTGGGGTAGTTGGTGGTCGGAATTATAGCACCATCGACCTGCACATTCAAGGACAGTCCCATCTCCGCAGTCCATGTCTTAAAAAGTGTGGCCGTCGACTAAGTGGCGGATATTTTCATATTCCTCGCAGTGATAAAGGCGGCAAGATCAACAAGGTAAGCGTTTAACCGATCGCAAATGTCATCAATAATGGGTCCGGACGCCACGAGCGTACAATCATCTGCGTACGTTATAATCTCTATGCCGTCTGGAGGTCGTGGAATGTCAGAAAGGTAGAGGTTAAACAGTTCCGGAGATATCACCCCACCTTGGGGAACTCCCTGCTTAACTCTACGGATGCTCGACTTCTTGTTTCTGAATTCCAAATACGACTGGCGTCCACACACTTAGTTTACTATCCAACGTTTCAAACTTGGCCGGAGGGCAGTGCGCTCAATGTCCTCGAACAGTGTGGCATGATTGACTGTATCAAAGGCTTTTGATAAATCAAGTGCCACCATAACTGTTCTACCGCAAGCCTTTTCTGGCTGAGACCTCTGCTAACATGTGTGGAAATGGCGTGTAAAGCTGTTGTTGTGCTGTGCAATTTTCAGAATCCATGTTGATGATCGGCTATTGGGAAACATTCTCTTATGCTGGGGAGGAGTAAAGTAAAGAGTAAAGCCTCAAAGAC